CAACAACTTTAGGGCAGCGGGACACTTTAGCATCAGGAATACAGTTTTGTATTCCTAACACTGTTACATAGTTATATAGCTGAAAAGAGACTTGCATCCATCAAGTTCAGCCTTCCTCACATATGTTTTTGCTGTTGATCCAAAAGAAGGCAAAAAACCCAGTCTGGGGGGGACGGGGCCTGACCGCAGAACTGAGAGGTTGCAGAAAAAAGCCGCTCCTGCACCTCGGGTTATACGCCTAAAACTTACCTCAATTCCTCCAAACGTGCATCCAGCGGAAGGGCGAAACCGGGGGCCACGTACCGACACTAAATATGTGGCATAACAAGCAGGAACCCTCGAAGTACTCCTAAAGGCCTGCCAGCATGGTCTGTGCAGGGGAGACGGCCGCTCCCCTGATGCCTCCAACAGCGACAAGTGTGATTATGGGCCCTAACCCCCCCCTATGGACCGGTAGGGGTCATCCTGGTCCCAGGAGGACCACCCCAGAAGTTGTGGCAGCAACCCCAACAGAAACGAGCTATAATCAATATGGTAGAGACTACTTTCGAGCCAGCGGGCCCAACACAAGAGACTGACATCCTAGCACGGCTGGACGCCACATTTAAAGAGTTTTGGAAAAAACTAGCAGACCGACTAAGCACAGGCAAAGCTCGAGCTTCAGACCCACCTGAGGCGCCACCATACTGCTCACGTCCAGAATGCACACCCAGTCAGGCCAAACACCCCCCAAAAATAGGGAAGAGCTCGCACTCACACCCGAGAGGGACCCGCACTACGCCTGCAAAAGTACCTGGGAAAAGGATCGTCCGCCCACACCTCAGCAAGCAGACAGCGAAATACATGAAGCACGCAGACCTGGTGGTTGGAACGGGTGAGTCCCTGAACGAAATACAAAGCCCAGGAACAACCCTTAAAGGCATAGGCTGAGGAGGACTTTGTGAGACATGAGGAATGGGACACACAGCCCCCGGTAGTGGCAGACTATCGCTCCCCTTGATCCGGGACTTATACTACACCATGATAATTGAGCCGCACATGTACCGCACAGAATTAACCCCCTATCCCGAAAAGCAGCCCAACCATGTGGATCCCTATGTAGCTCTAAGCTCCTGCCATCGGAGAGACTGGGGCAGCCGAAGGGGAAGGTGTACCTGAAACAAACCAAGCTCACAACGTGAACTATAACTGCTATTTATTTATCAAAAGTGTTGACTTAGCTTTTTCGTTTAAAGAGTTAGTGAGTTATATTTAGGCTTTCAGTGAAAATCCTGCATCCAGATAGCGCAACAATATTTGTGTATGCTTCACATTGTGTCTAGCTACCTAGTGGTGACAATCTTTTACACACACCCCAGACAAGTTAGTTAAACCTGTGTCTATGCTGGGGGCTCTAAAAAGTACGCACTGGGGGGGCGGAGTCTCACCGCCAAGCTGCACGGACGTGGGGGACAGGAGCTCCGGTCGGGCGGGCAACAAACCTGGCACAAACGGCAAAAACGAAGCCCAAAGACCACACAGGGGGCACCACCCACGTCGGGGGAGCACTTCAGTATCGGGTGATACAATTCCAGAGCCAAACAAAAGAAAAGCCGACTGCGGCCTGCTGGAGTGGAAGCCGGGGAGAGGCGGCCGCTCTCTCCGACATCAGACCCCCTGGGAAACTCTGCGGACTACCTACCCTCCCCCCCCTGGACCGGGGGGGACATCCCGGTCCCCATTAGACAAGCGGACCAAGACAGCAAACAAGTAATCTCTACCACACAGCCTGCTGGTGCAGGACACAACCGAGGCACGTCCAAGATGGCCGCCCAGCATGGTACAAGGAAGAGGGCGGGCGGTTACCTGCCCTTTCATTCCCTGGAAGCACTTGACCGGCTATGCCTAAGCTTCTGTATGACACTATGTGACAGGGGAATACCCTACAAACGAGCGGCCCACACAGTGGCCTCGTGGATTCGACCGATTACCCGCAGGCGCCACTATGGACTCCCACCTCAGACCTTTCAAGTGGCTGACAGGCGCCGACAGTCGACAAGGCGGGTGGCAGAGCCTCACCATGAGGGTGCACGTACCCGCTCCCACTCTCAACAGAGCGAGACCGCCGGGCAAACCGTATGCTCCAGCAACTTCTCGAACCAGCGAGACGCCAGACAGCACCACAGGGACATAGCCGCATGCCACGCCGACACGCAAACAAAATCCCTGCGGAACACGGCCGAAACTGGACTGAGGCCCAGAGACTCATGCTACCCGGGCGCATGCACTGGCCCCTTAGCACACAAGGGTGGGACAGCCAAACTGGAAGCCCACGCATACAACGCTCCTGAGAGCACGCTTTCCGAGGAATGTACCCTACCATCAGCAGGCATTGGGTGAACTGATCTTATGAAAAGGGACTTAAAGCAGGCAGTTGACCACCTATCTTCTATCTCCACACGGCATCTTATACTTCTCACTCACATAGTCAGCCAGCACAACCTATGTTTACTACCCTGTTCAAACCTGATGTCTCTAATGTAAAAATGTGCTTGTTGTGCTTTCCTTGTTTTAAATGCGCATACAATTAAACAGCTAGCCTTCTTTACACCCTAGGTGCAATTCGCAATGCTCTATACATGTCCAGCTTAACAAAAACGCGGTTTTATAGCTTGAGATTTTCATATAAAATACAGCGATGACACTCGCTATAATCAATAATTAACTCACTTTGTCTAACCAGCATGTGCCTAGCCTATATTGTTAGCCATAAGTTGTACGCTTTAGGACACGACAGGCGAATTGCACAGTGTTGTTTTTCTCATAAGCATACAAGCCGGTTGATCTCACCACGAGGCCTCAAGCTAATCGCACTAACTTAGCTTAAACCATAATGTTAATAGCTTGCTTGTTGTATCGTTACCTTTTCCACAAAAAAAAAAAACTGTATGCATGTCCACCTTGCCACAATACTGCCATCATATGTCTATGAAAATTGAGCCTGTCAATGCTGTTGTGGCGACACAGGCACTGTTGTAACTACCTGCATACCAAAAATAAAGAATTAAAAAAAAAAAAAAAAAAAAGTACGCACTGTACAGTGATTTCAGGATATTGCTAGATCAACTAAGCTGAGCTAGAATCATACAACACTTAAACGCCTATCGTTATGTTTAAACGTGATCGTCTTACTTAATAAAAACGTGCTTGTAATTCTATATACCCCATTGTTAAAAGGAATGAAAATCAGTGTGAGGAATGCCGTCGGGGTACCGCACGAATGTTGTTATATTTCTTTGCACTGCAAAAAAAAAACCCCAGTCTGAAGCGCTTCCAATTTTGCAACTAACTAGGAAAAAATTCCTTCTTGACCCTAAAATAGCAGTCAGATGTCTCCTTGGATCAAGCAGCTATTCTCCCACTAATTAGAAATTATATCCCTGTATGTTATGTTTTTGCAAGTATTTATCCAATTGCAGTTTAAACACCTGTATAGACTCTGACAATAGCACTTCAAATAAATAAATAAAAGATATGTGCAGTAAACCTTATGTAAGACCACACATTTTTCTGCATGTGGTTTATGGTTTGCATATTTACCAAGTGCAGTGTTTAAATGCGCTCCCTCCATTTGGATGCATAACCACAGCATAGGAGGAGACTTATGCAGGATATGGATTGAAAGGAGATCAGAACACGTATAGTTGATCATAGGGGTATACTTGGGCTACCAACACACAGGAACTGCCAGCCCCTGTGTTTTGGTAGACAGTATTGACCTCTATAATCAACAGCCATAATATCAGTATAAATATATTGGCAATAGAGGTGAAGAAGATGAGAAAAAAACAAGACTGTCGTCATGGTCACAAACTCATTGGATAATAACAAAAAGAAATATCCCAAGGTTACATTATGTCTTTAAATGTTACCACCCAACTCAATAGCACTCAGTTTATTAACTTCGAAAGCAGAGAAGCCCAGTCAATCTTGTCGTGAATCTAAGATGCAAAATTGACATTTGAACAGATACTGGACTTTGGGGATTTGGAGCCATATGTCTGAAACATAAATAATTAATTTGCCATATGAGTAAAATAAATAAAAGAAAAACCAATTGCACAGTAAACTTCAATTTAGCAGTTTTGACATTTTAGCTTAAGGCTCTTTTCTTGATATTAACAAGTTAAATATCTGCCTTTCCCCTGGTCTGTGAGATGGAAGAGAACATGTAGTCAGAAAAGAGAGGGGAGGATCGCAACGGTTCCATTGCTCTCATCCATGTGTGGTGATTGAAGGATTTAATAACTATACAGCCTACCCAATCAAACCTTCTAGGCAGAGGGTCTAGACCAGTGATGGCGAACCTTTTTGAGCCCGAGTGCCCAAAGCGCAATACTGAGGTTTAAGTTTAGAAAAAACAACTCGTACTGTTGTCCCAACTAATTAACAACTTTTGTTTTAAAAGAACACAACAACAGAGAGTTCAATGATACAAATTTTAAATAATGATATAAATAGATAAAATTAAGCTTATATTTATTAGTATCTCCAACAAATGCAATACATACACACACAGACTGCTGAATACATACACACAGTCTGCTGAATACACACACACAAGACTGCTGAATACAGAGACTGATGAATACACACACACTAGGGATCGACCGATATTGATTTTTTTAGAGCCGATACCGATTCCAATAATCTGCGAACTTTCAGGCCGATAGCCGATATCTTGCCGATATTCTGTACATTTACTATTTTGAATAAATAAACTAATTCGAAAGGTAAATGCACAAAATATACATGCCAAATGTAGTGGATGAAGTGTGTTTAGACAGGGGAACTGTGTGTGTGTGTTTGTGTAGTGTGTGTGTGTGTGTGTGTAGTGGATGCAGAGTGTGTTTGTGTAGTGTGTGTATAATGAATGTAGTGTGTATATAATGCAGTGTGTGTAGTGTGTATATAATGCAGTGTGTTTACGTAGTGTGTGTGTGTATAATGCAGTGTGTTTTTGTGTGTGTATGTAATGCAGTGTGTGTGTGTTTGTGTAGTGTGTATGTATGTAATGCAGTGTGTGTTTGTGTAGTGTGTATGTAATGCAGTGTGTGTGTATGTGTAGTGTGTATGTAATGCAGTGTGTGTGTATGTAATGCAGTATGTGTACTGTGTTTGTGTAGTGTGTATGTAATGCAGTGTGTGTATGTAATGCAGTGTGTGTGCAGTGTAGTGTGTGCAGTGTGTGTCTGTAATGCAGTATGTGTGCAGTGTGTGTTTGTGGTGTGTGTAGTGTCTGTCTGTGTAGTGTGTGTATGTAATGCAGTGTGTGTGCCTGTGTAGTGTGTATGTAATGCAGTATGTGTGCAGTGTGTGTTTGTGTAGTGTGTGTGTGTGTTTGTGTAGTGATGTAATTTGTGTAATTTTTTATTTTAATATTTTTTTATATTTAAATGTTTTTTTTGTTTAGTCCCCCCCCCAGTGTGTGTTTGTGTAGTGTGTGTTTGTGTAGTGTGTATGTAATGCAGTATGTGTGCAGTGTGTGTTTGTGTGTGTGTGTGTGTGTGTGTGTGTAATTTGTGTAATTTTTTATTTTAATATTTTTTTTAATATTTAAATGTTTTTTTTTTGTTTAGTCTCCCCCCAGTGTGTGTTTGTGTAGTTTGTGTAGTGTGTATGTAATGCAGTATGTGTGCAGTGTGTGTTTGTGTGTGTGTAGTGATGTAATTTGTGTAATTTTTTATTTTAATATTTTTTTTAATATTTAAATGTTTGGGTTTGTTTTGTTTAGTCCCCCCTCCCTGCTTCTTACCAGGGAGGGGGATATAGTATTCCCTGGTGGTCCAGTGGCTTGTTAAGTACAGTGGTGGCTCAGCAGCAGCAAGCACTGACTTACCTTGCAAGCAGCTCCTACAGCTCCCTGTGTAAATCTCGCGGCTCTTAGTGCCGCGCGGAGCGTCTCGGGTCTCGCGAGATTTATACAGGGAGCTGCATGCAAGGTAAGTCAGCGCTTGCGGCTGGCCCCCACAGGACCGCCGGGCTTCTAATGGGCACGGCGGTCCTGTTATATATTATCGGCAATATCGGTATCTGAATTGGCCGATACCGATATTGCCGAAAATACCAAATATCGGCCGATAATATCGGCCAGACCGATAATCGGTCAATCCCTAACACACACACAGTCTGCTGAATACACATACAGACTGCTGAGTACACACACACACAGACTGCTGAATACATACACACACAGTCCACTGAATACACACACTGCTGAGTACACACACCCACACAGACTGCTGAATACACACACTGCTGAGTACACACACACACACAGACTGCTGAATACACACACACAGACTGCTGAATACACACACAGATTGCTGAATACACACACACACACAGACTGCTGAATACACACACATACTGCATTGAGGGGTGTAGTGTATGTGTTTGTGTGTGGGGTGCTGTGTGTGTGCTGTGTGTGAGGGGTGCTGTGTGTGAGGGGTGCTGTGTATGTGAGGGTTGCTGTGTGTGTCTGAGGGTTGCTGTGTGTGTGTGTGTGTGATGGTTGCTGTGTGTGTGTGTGAGGGGTGCTGTGTGTGTGAGGGGTGTTGTGTGTGTGTATGAGGGGTGCTGTGTGTGTGTGTGTGTGAGGGTGCTGTGTGTGTGTGTGAGGGGTGCTGCATGTGTATGAGGGGTGCTGTGTGTGAGAGAGGGGTGCTGTGCTGTGTGGGGGTAGGAGTGCTGGGTGGGGGCAAGGGTGCTGTGCTGTGGGGGTAGGGGTGCTCTGTGTGTTGTGGGGGTGCTGTGTGGGGGGGTTGCTGTGTGGTGGGGTTGGGGTGCTGTGTGTGGGCGGTAGGGCTGCTGTGTGTGTGAGGGTAGTGGTGGGGAGGGATGCTGGATGTAGGGGAGGGGAGGGAAGCTGGGTGTGGAGGAGGGGAGGGATGCTGGGTGTGGGGAAGGGAGGGATGCTGGGGAGGGAGGGGTGCTGCGGGGGGTAGTGGTACTGTGTGTGGGGGGTAGGGGTACTGTGTGTGGGGGGTAGGGGTGCTGTGTGTGTGGGGCTGGGGTAAAGGTGTTTTAAAAAAAAGTATGCTAAATCAGTATCCCCCCCTCCCTCCTTC